TATTCCTGACTCGCTTCCTCTCCCTCCCCCACTCCCTTGCCACCTCCCTCTCTTTATATCTTTCCCCCTCTCCCTCCCTCACCTCCTCTCCCTTTCTATATTCCTCCCTCACTCCCACCCTCATTCATCCTCTCCTCCTCCCTTCTTCTCTCTCTCCTCTCTCTCTCTCTTACCTCCTCCCCTCTCTCTTACCTTACCTCCACGATTTTCTGTCTTGCCAATAATGTAATCTTGAAGTCACAGCCCTAAGGCATCGGGTATTTTCCTTCCTCCCATCAACACTCCTCCTTCTCTCCCTCTTCCCATCAACATCCCCCCCTTTCTTTCTCCCCTCCTCTCCCCCTTCCTCTTCTCACCTACAAATTTCCCCCTTCTCTTTAACCCCCCTCCCCTTTACCAGTACTCACATATGCTGGATACGCCTCATCCTTGCTTACCTGTGGGAGAAGAATGTGTAATTAGCATCAGGTGAGATATATGCATAATTAATTACCAGTTACATAATATAATTCATAGTTACTTATATAATTATATGGATTTGTAAATAATATAGTGAAGATAGGAAAAGCCAGATGGTGATGATGATGGAGGAGGAGGAGGAGGAGAAGATTGATAATAACTGAAGAAAAATAAAATAAGAACCAAAATATGAATCAAGGAAAGAAGAGGAGGAGAAGGAAGAGGAAGAGGGGAGAAGTAGAAGTAGGAGGAGGAAGAGGAAGAGGAGGAGGAGGAGGAAGAGGGGAGAAGTAGAAGTAGGAGGAGGAAGAGGAGGAGGAGGAGGAGAAGTAAAAGGAGGAGGAAGAGAAGTGTAGGAGGAGGAGGGAGGAGGAGGAGGAAGAGGAGGAGGAGGAGAGTAGGAGGAGGAGGAGAAAGGAAGTGGGAGGAGGAAGAGGGGAGAAGTAGAAGTAGGAGGAGGAAGAGGAGGAGGAGGAAGAGGAGGAAGAGGAGGAGAGCGCAGCAACACAACCTAACACATTAAGATCGATCCACTCATTCCTGTGGTGGTACAATGCCTCCCCCCCATTACCACACACACACACAAACACATATATACACACACACAAACACACATATATATATATACACACACACACACACACAGATAAACGCAGACATACATACATACACACACACAGTTATATACATACATACATAAACGCAGACATACATACATACATACATACACAAACACACACACACCTTATAAATTGATGATATAAGAGACAGTTTATTTCTCATTAACTTTACAATAATAATAAATATCTTGAACTGTGAAATTTTCGTAAAACTGCCGAACTGAGGAAACAATATCAGGGTAAAAACATTAAGTTCATTATATTTTCGTGAGATTGTGTGTAAACTGTGTGTAAATTGCCGTAGATTGTGTGTAAACTGTGTGTAAACTGTGTAAACTGTGTGTAAACTGCCGTAGATTGTGTGTAAACTGTGTGTAAACTGCCGTAGATTGTGTGTAAACTGTGTGTAAACTGCCGTAGATTGTGTGTAAACTGTGTGTAAACTGTGTGTAAACTGCCGTAGATTGTGTGTAAACTGCCGTAGATTGTGTGTAAACTGCCGTAGATTGTGTGTAAACTGCCGTAGATTGTGTGTAAACTGTGTGTAAGCTGCCGTAGATTGTGTGTAAACTGTGTGTAAACTGCCGTAGATTGTGTGTAAACTGTGTGTAAGCTGCCGTAGATTGTGTGTAAACTGTGTGTAAACTGCCGTAGATTGTGTAAACTGTGTGTAAACTGCCGTAGATTGTGTGTAAACTGTGTGTAAACTGCCGTAGATTGTGTGTAAACTGTGTGTAAACTGCCGTAGATTGTGTGTAAACTGCCGTAGATTGTGTGTAAACTGTGTGTAAGCTGCCGTAGATTGTGTGTAAACTGCCGTAGATTGTGTGTAAACTGTGTGTAAACTGCCGTAGATTGTGTGTAAACTGTGTGTAAACTGCCGTAGATTGTGTGTAAAGTGTGTGTAAACCGCCGGTGATTGTGTGTAAACTGTGTGTAAACTGCCGTAGATTGTGTGTAAACTGCCGTAAACTGATGCTCTTGTTTGTGTTTCATTATTTTTGTGATAATAAGAACACCTTCCTCACACGCCTCCCGAGAATATTGTAAACTGTCCATTATTAAAGCTGGTGAAGGAACGTCTATATTTTTCATACAGTTATTGAATGTTTGAAATATCTGAAGGTTATGTTATTAAACTGTTGGTGATTTTAACCCATTATGTATGATAATTTCACCACTTGAGTACGATAGTTTAACCCCTTGAGTACGATGGTTTATCCCCTTGAGTACGATGGTTTATCCCCTTCAATACGATGGTTTATCCCCTTGAGTACGATGGTTTATCCCCTTGAGTACGATGGTTTAACCCCTTGAGTACGATGGTTTATCCCCTTCAATACGATGGTTTATCCCCTTGAGTACGATGGTTTAACCCCTTCAGTACGATGGTTTATCCCCTTGAGTACGATAGTTTAACCCCTTCAGTACGATGGTTTAACCCCTTGAGTACGACGATGGAGTACGATGGTTTATCCCCTTGAGTACGATGGTTTAACCCTTGAGTACGATGGTTTATCTTGAGTACGATGGTTTAACCCCTACGATAGTTTAACCCCTTCGGTACGATGGTTTATCCCTTGAGTACCGATGGTTTAACCCCTTGAGTACGATGGTTTATCCCCTTCAATACGATGGTTTAACCCTTCAATACGATGGTTTAACCCTTGAGTACGATGGTTTATACGATGGATGTACGATGGTTTATCCCCTTGAGTACGATAGGTTAACCCCTTGAGTACGATAGTTTAACCCCTTGAGTACGATGGTTTATCCCCTTGAGTACGATGGTTTATCCCCTTGAGTACGATAGTTTAACCCCTTCAGTACGATGGTTTAACCCCTTGAGTACGATGGTTTATCCCCTTGAGTACGATGGTTTATCCCCTTGAGTACGATGGTTTAACCCCTTGAGTACGATGGTTTATCCCCTTCAATACGATGGTTTAACCCCTTCAATACGATGGTTTAACACCTTCAATACGATGGTTTAACACCTTCAGTACGATGGCTTAACCCATTGAGTACGATAATTTAATCTATCGTACTCAAGGGGTTTAAAAGTGGATTTCTTCATACTATACCTATGAATAAATATGTATACGTATCTAGGACTCTATACACTACCCGTATATACACATGTATTCTAACTATGAATAAATATGTATACCTCAAAATCTCTATAAACTGCCCTTGTATCACAGTTTATTTATCATCATCATTTTATAGTGAAGATAAACTGTGGTGGTGTTGATGTTGTGTTTTTATGATGATGAGGTAATATTGTTTTTCTTGTTTTCGACGTTTAGCGGCAACACAACACACTGATGGATGATGAATACTGCAACACGTTAAATTTCCTTATTAATTATACATTTTAATCTCTTATTCATTATACATGTTAAACTCTTATTCATTATACATGTTAAACTCTTATTCATTATACATGTTAAACTCTTATTCATTATACATGTTAAACTCTTATTCATTATACATGTTAAACTCTTATTCATTATACATGTTAAACTCTTATTCATTGTACATGTTAAACTCTTATTCATCCTACATGTTAAATTCTTATTCATTATACATGTTAAACTCTTATTCATTATACATGTTAAACTTTTATTCATTATACATGTTAAACTCTTATTCAACATACATGTTAAACTCTTATTCATCCTACATGTTAAACTCTTATTCATTATACATGTTAAACTCTTATTCATTATACATGTTAAACTCTTATTCATTATACATGTTAAACTCTTATTCATTGTACATGTTAAACTCTTATTCATCCTACATGTTAAATTCTTATTCATTATACATGTTAAACTCTTATTCATTATACATGTTAAACTTTTATTCATTATACATGTTAAACTCTTATTCAACATACATGTTAAACTCTTATTCATCCTACATGTTAAACTCTTATTCATTATACATATTAAACTCTTATTCATTATACATGTTAAACTCTTATTCATTATACATGTTAAACTCTTATTCATTATACATGTCAAACTCTCATTCATCCTACATGTTAAACTCTTATGCATTATACATGTCAAACTCTCATTCATTATACATGTTAAACTCTTATTCATTATACATGTTAAACTCTTATTCATTATACATGTTAACTTCGCCTCATTCATCAACCTCACCATCAGCTGATAACTAACTTGTTAAATTATCTGATTAAATTGATAAGGAATAGTTAACAATCTCATTTTGTTTTTAATTAACGGTGCCGCCAGGTAAAGGCTCTGTTTACAGCACCTGAGATTCGCTAATTGGCATACAAGTAGTTAATAAGACAGGTAGTTAATAAGACAGGTAGTTAATAAGACAGGCAGTTAATAAGACAGGCAGTTAATAAGACAGGCAGTTAATAAGACAGGTAGTTAATAAGACAGGTAGTTAATAAGACAGGTAGTTAATAAGACAGGCAGTTAATAAGACAGGCAGTTAATAAGACAGGCAGTTAATAAGACAGGCAGTTAATAAGACAGGTAGTTAATAAGACAGGTAGTTAATAAGACAGGTAGTAATAAGACAGGCAGTTAATAAGACAGGCAGTTAATAAGACAGGTAGTTAATAAGACAGGTAGTTAATAAGACAGGTAGTTAATAAGACAGGTAGTTAATAAGACAGGTAGTTAATAAGACAGGTAGTTAATAAGACAGGCAGTTAATAAGACAGGTAGTTAATAAGACAGGTATTAATAAGAGAAAATCCTCTAATCGTTACTTTTCATTTAATTTCCATTGACTTATTTCTTCAGATACAATATTACGTAAACTGTCGACGGGCAGAATTAAAATGGCAATTGTGGGTTAATTTTATTAGTTTGGTAATGTTAAAAGAACTGGTTAGTGGGTGAGAGTTTATTAACAATGATATCATGTTACTTATGTTAAAATATGTTGAGATTTAATCTGAATTAGACTAAACTGTTTCTTGATAACACTAAACTGCTCCTTGATAATACTAAACTGCTCATTGATAACACTAAACTGTTCCTTGATAACACTAAACTGTTCCTTAATAACACTAAACTGTTTCTTGATAACACTAAACTGCTCCTCGATAACACTAAACTGTTCCTTGATAACACTAAACTGTTCCTTGAAAACACTAAACTGTTCCTTGATAACACTAAACTGGTCCTTAATACTAAACTGTTCCTTGAAAACACTAAACTGTTCCTTGATAACATTAAACTGTTTCTTGATAACACTAAACTGCTCCTCGATAACACTAAACTGTTCCTTGATAACACTAAACTGTTCCTTGATAACACTAAACTGCTCCTTGATAATACTAAACTGCTCCTTGATAACACTAAACTGTTCCTTAACACTAAACTGCTCCTTGATAATACTAAACTGCTCCTTGATAATACTAAACTGCTCCTTGATAACACTAAACTGTTCCTTAACGGTAAACTGTTCCTTGATAATACTAAACTGTTCCTTAACACTAAACTGCTCCTTGATAATACTAAACTGCTCCTTGATAACACTAAACTGCTCCTTGATAACACTAAGTTGTTCCTTGATAACACTAAACTGCTCCTTGATAACACTAAACTGTTCCTTAACACTAAACTGCTCCTTGATAATACTAAACTGCTCCTTGATAACACTAAAGTGCTCCTTGATAACACTAAAGTGTTCCTTAACACTAAACTGCTCCTTGATAACACTAAACTGCTCATTGATAACACTAAAGTGCTCCTTGATAACACTAAAGTGTTCCTTAACACTAAACTGCTCATTGATAACACTAAACTGCTCATTGATAACACTAAACTGTTCCTTGATAACACTAAAGTGTTCCTTAACACTAAACTGCTTCTTGATAATACTAAACTGCTCCTTGATAACACTAAAGTGCTCCTTGATAACACTAAAGTGTTCCTTAACACTAAACTGCTCCTTGATAACACTAAACTGCTCATTGATAACACTAAACTGTTCCTTAACACTAAACTGCTCCTTGATAACACTAAACTGCTCCTTGATAACACTAAACTGTTCCTTAACACTAAACTGCTCCATGATAATACTAAACTGTTCCTTGATAACACTAAACTGTTCCTTGATAACACTAAAGTGTTCCTTAACACTAAACTGCTCCTTGATAACACTAAACTGCTCCCTGATAACACTAAACTGCTCCTTGATAACACTAAAGTGTTCCTTAACACTAAACTGCTCCCTGATAACACTAAACTGCTCCTTGATAACACTAAACTGTTCCTTAACACTAAACTGCTCCTTGATAACACTAAACTGTTCCTTGATAACACTAAACTTGTTATCACTCTTTATCTTCCATTAACTATACACGGTGAGACACATGACCTTTAAAGTATGTTTCTCATTAACTTGACCATGATAAGATAACCTTTAGGTGATGTCGGGTAAATTGCCCATAGGCCTAAGTGTCGGTCTCAAGTTTACTGTCCATTCGCTGAAGAAAGAAGAAGGAGGAAGAAGAAAGAAGAAAGATGGAAGAAGAAGAAAAAGAAGAAAGAAGAAAGATGGAAGAAGAAAAGAAGAAAGAAGAAAGATGGAAGAAGAAAAAGAAGAAAGATGGAAGAAGAAGAAAAAGAAAGAAGGGAGAAAAAGAAGAAGAAAGAAGGAAGGAGGAAGAAAAAAGAAGAAGAAATTGACACCAATAACCAAAAAAATATCTTTACACCAGAGTTCATCAGATTTTCTAAACTTAAAAAAAAAAACTAACACGAAAGCAAACCCTATTCCTTCAATATCTTAACGACACACACACACACACACACATCTTGTCATCTGCCATACGAGCAAACACCGCAGGGACCACAACGATACCCTGGGGAACCACGACACACAAACCAACAATAAGATCCGCTTTGATATTCAATAAGCTAATGTGTCTCTCTCTCTCTCTCTCTACTTCTCTCTCTGTCTCTCTCTCTTACTCTCTCTCTCTCTCTCTCTCTCTCTCTCTCTTCTCTTCTCTCTCTCTCTCTCTCTCTCTCTCTCTCTCTCTCTCTCTCTCTCTCCTCTCTCTCTCTCTCTCTCTCTCTCTCTCTCTCTCTCTCTCTCTCTCTCTCTCTCTCTCTCTCTCTTTACCTCTCTACTCTCTCACTCTCTCTCTACCTCTCTACTCTCTCTCTCTCTCTCTCTCTCTCTCTCTCTCTCTCACCCCAACGCCGCCAGGGATAATTATTGTGTTTAATTTATCATGCAGGTGGTTCATAATATTATGGTATTGGAGTGTTATGGTTGGGGTGGTTGTTGTTAGGTTAGGTTAGGTTGGGTTAGGTTGGGTTAGGTTAAGGTTGGGTTAGGTTGGGTTGGTTAAAACGTGTCAACAAACGCACAGACAGACTGTAACAGAGAGCGCCAACAGACCAGACGCCAAGTGACGAACCGCAGACGGGCAAACGACAGAGCCTACATCTACACAAACCAACATACACACCTAACAGAAACACACACAGACAGATTCCAACAGATACAAACAGACAACAACGGTCACCCTAAGCCATAGATTTGCGACGGAAGGAACAATAAGACCCTAGGAGGGTCGTGAGGTGAAAGTAGGAGGAAGAGGAAGGAGAATAGGAAAGAGGGTGAAGAAGAATGGAGGGAGAAGGAGGAAAAAGAGGAGGAGAACTGGGATAAAAATTGAATAGACAAATAGAGGAGGGAGGAGATGGGAGGAAGTAAGAAGATGGAGAGGAGGTGAGGAAGGAGAGGAGGAAGGAGGTGAAGGAGGAAGGAAGGAGGAGGAAGAAAGGAGAGTGGGAGGAGAGATGAATGAAGGAAGCAGAGACAGAAAGGAAAAGAGGGAGGGAGAGAGGGAGGAGGGTCATAGGGCAGCACTACCATGTACCGTGAAGAGACTTTGGTCACATGTAGCACCTTTGTCATGAACCAGCCTTGACCCCCCCGCCACACAAGGTGCCAGAATGACATCACGATATGGGAAAATTGCTGGAGACACTAGCAACCCAACCTAACCTACCTAACCTATCTACCTAACACAACCTAACCTAACCTACCTAACCTAACCCAACCCAACCTACCTAACCTAACCTAACATAACTAACCTACCTAACCTGCCTACCCTGAAAACACCTATAACCTGCCTAACACAACCTAACACAACCTGCCTAACCTACCTAACCTACCTACCCCTAACCTAACCTACCCTAACCTGCCCTACCTAACCTAGCCTGCCTACTGCTTAACATAACCTGCCTAACCTGCCTATGCTGCCTACTTCTTAGCCCTACCTGCCTAGCCTGGTTGCCTGGCCTGCCTGGCTTAACCTGAGCCATAGCCCCTGCCTGTGCCTGCCTGACACAACCACAACCTGCCCCACAACCTGAAACTGTACTGTTTCCGTGTCTGTGTTGAAGCTAACAAGTACATCTGTTAATCATCTATTATAATCTGCTTCCTTTTACCAGCATCTCAAGGAGCAGTGGCAGAGTGCCAGGAGGTGGGGAGTGGTGGTGAGGTCTCTCTCTCTCTCTCTCTCTCTCTCTCTCTCTCTCTCTCTCTCTCCACATACACAATCTATCATCCACCTTCCTAGTTCTTCCAAACAAGATATTATACACATCCTCCACACCCTCTACACCCCACCACCGCCTCCCCTACACACCTCCCTTCCCCCCACCACTCCTTCCCTTCCCACACCCCCACCACCACTCCCATCCCACCCCACCCTCCCTCCCCTCCCACACCCCCCACCACCACACCCTCCCCTACCACACCCCACCACACACCCTCCCCACCCCCACCACCACCCCCCTCCCTTTCCCACCCCACCCCACCACCTCCCCTCCACCTCCCCACCCCCCACTAAAACATACATATAC